CTGATTCCTTGCAAAATCACTTAGACACATGGACACCGGACACATCTGAACCCTACAAATGGCCAATAAGCACGTTAAATAAAAAATTATTTGCTTATTCAATTGGAAATGATTTTTAAAAAATAATGACAATGTCAACTATTAGTAAGGCTACGAGGGAACCAGGCCCCACATATATTACTGATGGAAACGTAAATTAATAGAAGCTTCTGGAGGGCAACTTGAAAATACATACCAGGCCTTAACATATTCGTATCCACTTTTCCAGCATTTATATCTCTGAGAATTCCTCCTGAGGGGGGAAAAAAGAATGAATTTATCCAGATATTTAGCTACAAGAATATTAGGAAAATTTGTACACATCTCAAATTTTCAATGACACAGGGATTGTTGAATACATTGCCCTCAAGGTATAATAAAAAACTATGAAGCCACTAATGATGTTTTGGAAAAATGCTTATTGACAGATAACTACTCCTCTTTTTTTTCTTGTCAGGGGAAGATAGCAGTTTGTAAAACAGCATATGCACTATTTTTTAAAATTTAAAATACTTATATGTATACATTACATATATAGATAAATAGAGCGAGAGAGGAATAGAAAATCAAGAATGGGAAAATTTTTATTATGTATTAAATGGTAACAGTGATTTTATTTTCTTTATGCTTATTTAAAACTTCTACAAAGGTCAGCAAGGGCTTCTGTAATGGTAAAATTAACAATGAAAGAAAGGTTCAGAAAGTTCTCCAATGATTTTCCCCTCTGGGTAGGGTCCAACCCCTCAGCAAGTATGTCAGGCCCCGGCCCTGGCAGCCCCTGCAACTTCCAGTCATCCACCTTTCCCGTGGGTACTTCCCTAAATGGGTGCTGTACTTGTGTCTTGACAGCTATCTGCTGGTTCATTTGCCTGGAAGGCCCCCCACTCCCCAACCTTGCTCCCTGACTGCTCTCTGGCGGGTCACCTTTCCTGGGAAGCCATCCCCGCCACTGCAGCAGAGCTAACCATTTCCTCTCCCACCCTCCCCTGTGCGTGCACTATTTTTGTACTTCGCATGGCACTGCCGCTCTGTTTACACTTCCGTCTCATGAGTCATTTGAGGATTAGGCCAGGTTCTTATTCACCATTGTTTACTCAGCATCTAGCACAGCCCTGCCCAAATGTTTACGGAGTAAATGCACGAAGGAATGAAGAGTCTGTCTGAGCGCTAGGCTCACATACTTGCAGGAGATCTGCACGCAAGTGCCCCGTAGTTCCCTACATGCAACATGTCCCACGCTGAGCCCACCAACATGCCCCTGGGGTACCTGGGCTCCCCATTTCTCAATATCCATCCTCGCTCTTCTTGCGCACTCCCCATCTCTGTGATTGGAAGCTGCAACCCACTGGTGACTGGAGCCAGGATCATGGGTGTCTCCTTTTTCTCCCATCACATTCCCCTGGGGCTATCAATTCTACCATGCACATGGTTCTCGGGTTTCTTTCCATGCCCACTGCTGCTGTCTCTCCCTTATTCTCCCTCCCACTTGGATATCTGCCGCACTCCCCTCTCCCCTACCCTGCTAACAACTCGGCAATGACCCTCTGTTTCCCCAGGATAGTCGGAACTCTTCACCAAGCCTCACTGGTCCCTGTGTGACTCACTCAGGCCCCCGTCTCTCCAGCTTCACCTCTTCCCCACCCTACCCCTCTCATCCTTCTCAGGAGCAACCTGAAGAGTTCTTGGTTGCCTCTGTGCCTCTTGCATGCTGTTTGCTTTGTCTGTAACCCTTTTTCCAACCCTCCTGCCTCCCTAACTCATTCATCAAACCTTAATTTGAAAGCCACTTCCTCCTGGAAGCCTTTCCTTACTCCCCGAGTCTCATTTTGGCCCCTCCCATAGGCACCCCAAAACTCCCTACACTTACCCCAACACAGCTCTTCTCCCACAGTATTTAATTGTTCACTTAATTGTTCTTCTCCCTCAACAGACTGTAAGCTGCACAGGGTGGTGGCGGAGTAGGGTGGGGGAGCAGAAACCAAGTCTGCTTGTTCATGAACATTCCTCCAGCGTCCAGCAAAAACATAGTCCTTAATAAATGGTTAGCATTTGAAAGCAAATAGAAGAATACAATTTTTGCTTTTTCAGCTGCTAATACAAACTTTGGGATCAGACATCTCGTAGTTCATCTTATGAAGGTCAGGGAGCAGCAGTACCACAGATAACAGCCTTCTGCTCTGACCCAGACAGCTGACGGACCAGAGAGGGCTTTGCCCTGTGGAGGGAGGGCTGCTGTATGGGGCCTTTCTGCGCGGGTGTGCAACCAACTTCCCCCATGGGTCATGAGTTTTTCCAAGACTCACAGGAACTTACCCTAAAGAGTAAAGGAAGTTCCCTGTGTGTCTCTAAATGCCAACTTCAAAATATTTCCAGAGTTCCTGAGTTAAAGGTCCCAGAACTGAAACTTTGGATGGTGTCAAGTTCCCTGTGGAGATGCAGCTGGGCTGGGGGTCAGGATGGCTACCCCAGTAGTCAGGATAGGAAACAGAGCAGTGGTATTGGGTTGGGCAGGCAGTAGTGCAGAGTGGGCTCCAAAGTCTCCAACGGGCTGAGTCTAGTTCAGAGGAATCCAGCACCCCCGGGAGGATGGAGAATAGCTGGTAGATGGGGCTGGCATGGTGGCTTGGAGTCTCAATCAGCAACACTACGGCCCTTCTCCCTTCCCCATCCCCCGTAGGGCTGGGTTACTTCCTGCCTCGCTGACTTTGGGCTTGGCCATGTGACCTGCATTGGCCAATGGAACGTGAGCAGACAGGATGTGAGCAGAGGCTCTAAATACACTTGTGTGGTCCTTCCGTCTTATGGTCCTTTCATTCCCCAAGAGAAGAATATGCCCCAGGTTGCCACTGCTCCTTCAGTCTGGTTCCCTGATAAGTTTTGCATACATTTAGTTTGAGATGGCTATTATAGATCTAAGCAGAGATGTGTGCGATTTGGAGTTTAGGGGTGGTCTGGGCTGGAAATATATTAACACACTGGAGTTGTCCATCTCAAGGCTTTAGCTTTGAGATAGATGAGCTCACCAGGTGTGGCACAGATGGAAAAGAAGTTCACTGATGGAGTCCTGGTTTCTTCCAGTATTTAGAGGTCAGAGAGATGAGAAGGAATCAACAAGAAAACAGACACGTAGCAGCCAGGAAGGCAGGCAGGCAACTAGGCCAGTCACAGGTCCTGGGAGCCCCGTGGAGAGAGGGCTCAGAGCCAGAGAGAGCCATCAGATGTGTCCGACACTGCCGATGGGTCAGTGAGATGACGATGGAGACCTGACCTGTGGGTTTAGCAACAGGGAAGTTGTCAGTATCCTTGACACGAATGTATTCTGTGCAGTCACGGGGTAAAAGCATTAACAGAGGGGATTCAGGAGAGAATAAGAGGAGAGATATTTGCAAGTGTAGACAGTTCTTACCAAAGTTTTGCTCAGAAATGAAGGAAAGAAATGGGCTAAAGCCCAAGGGGGAAGTGACATCAAGACAGATTTTTTAAATATGGGATAAAATATATTAAGTTTGAATGCTGATGAGAAAGATCCAGGACAGAGAAGAAATTGATGATGCAGCAGAGATGGGGGCGTGGACCACAGTTCATCCACTGTGCCAGGGAGAAGGTTGAGGGTTTGGGTTTACAGGCAAGTGGGTGGGCAGATAGAATAAGGGGCCTTGGGGACATTCTCTTCCAGTTGCATCTATTTTCTCAATGAAACAGGAAGCCAGGTCATCAACAGAGAGTGAGCAGGTGGGAGGTGAACAAGAAACTATGACAGTCACCCAGGAGAGCTGAAGAATGAACAGACTGAGGGTGTGTAGCATGCATGCTCTCCAGCAGTGACTGTCCTGAGCACTTTGTATTTGCTATCTACTAAAGCCTCACAGCAGCCCTATGAAGGGGGCCCTACTATTTGCCCCCTTCATATAGCAGAAAATTGAAGCACAGAATAGTCAAGAAACTTGTCCAAAGTCACACAGCAAAATGGTAGAGCCGGGATTTGAATGCAGGCAATCTGGTTTCAGGGCCCAAATGCTTAATCACTAGGTTAGGTTGACCCAGTTAAACATATGAAAGCCTGTCACAGAACTGAACTAAATAGAAAAAGGGTTGAATTAATGTAGTGAAGCCACGGTGTCAAGCTCTGTTCTAGATTCCTTTGCAAAAACTCTGTGAGTCATTATTACTATCAACCCCATTTTACTGATGAGGACATGAGGTCCAGGAAGAATCAGTCGCTTGCTGAAAGTTGCAGAGCTAGGAAATGGAAGAACTCAGTTTTGAAGCCGTGTTGGTTTGATTCTAAAGCGCACACCCTGCGCACACCCTGCACACGATGCCAAAGAATCCTCACTACATCTGTGTGGTTCTGCCCAGTTAAAGCTGATTTATTAGCTAAGGACGTCAAAGCCCTCCTTACCTCAGGCTGGGATCACTTGCAACCTTTATCCTGAGCAAGTAGAGAACTTGCTGTGTGGTCCTTATAGCAGGAAGAACTTAAAGGAAGGTGACTTTGGAGCAGTGCTGGTTGTCTTTTTGACATCTGCGTCTGTGGATGCCTGTTGATCTGTTAGGTGAGGAGGAGGAGAGCTTAGATTGACATACATGGTGGGAGTCTTAGAATTTTCTTTTTCTTTTAATTAAAACTATAGCCTCTTATAACAAAAGCACTCATTCTAGTTTCACAAGCATTTCCAAAAACCATTTTCTCAAGAAAGAGCGCTCATAATGCATCATCTTCACTGAACAGCCACCCACTTCCTCAAATGCAAGGAAGCAGACAGTTAAGAAAAAAAAAGCCAGAGGCGGCAGTTGTTTATCACAACCTCGCCTCAGTGAGGCCTGAGATTCTTTCGAACAGGAGCTTTGCTTCCCATGACGCACAGGGAAGTATCAACTGGGATATTTCTGGTAAAACTGAAAGCAAGAGAAGCCAGGTGCCAGCCCCCTGGGGGACTGTGGGGCTGGGGCAGCTTGGGTGCCATCCCCAAGTGACAGATGGATGGACCTTTCAACTGAGAGAAAGGAGGAGACACGTTGGCAAATCAACCTCACACTCAAGATTGCTTGTGAAGGAATCGTAAGGGGGAGCAAAAACAGACACAAGCTCGAAAAGACAAGAAGGGCGCAAACTTTGGCAGGCTCTCCGCTTCACCAGCTACTCATCCAAACCAGAAGCAAAATGTCCCTGAAATTGCCAAGGACCTGGGATTTCAACCTGAAAGTGGAGGCTGCGAAAATAGGTATGGTCAGTGTTTTTCCGTTGCCTCTGTGGTTCTGGTACTTCAGCACCCACCATTTGCATGTTGGTCTGCAGGGAGCATAGTCTGCTTAAAAATGGATCTCCCAGCAAATCTGAGTTTGGGGGAAAATTTGCATTCAAATTGATATGTTGGCTCAAAGTTCTAACATGCTGGGAGGAGGTTCTCCTTCATTTGGAGGTGGCATTGGAATAGAGTTCCTTGGTGTGTGGGATCTGGGGTACATCGGATGGTCTAAGGCTACAGAGCACACATAAAACTGTGAGTTTTTTTGCCACATATCATGGAAGAGTCATTTCCCTCCTGTTTGGAAATTCATCCATGTTTTGAATGGTTTTCAACAGGAGCACAAAGACTGGAGTTTTTGAAGTGCTTGATCTGTAAGTAAACTCAATGGGTGCTCCGTTTAGTGAGCCCGGGGGGTCAAGGTGGGGCTACTTGTTGCAAAGACAATGAGGACAAGACAGGAACATAGAGACGTTTGAAGACATAATAAAGACAATTTTAAAGGAAAAGAATGGGAGAGAATTCTTAGAAAAGTTGGAGAACAGATGTATTTTTGATTAATTATCTTAATACTAATTAAGATACTCTGGCCTTTAATCCATACCCTTTCCTTCTAATGATGGTGCTGACACATTCAGTTTAATCAGTTATATAATTGTTAGCATGAGGTTCTTTATGTAGATTTTTTCTATTGTTAAATTGATCACAGTAATTTAGGGTAGAGCGATAGGGCTGAAAGTGATTGCCTATGTTTTATTCAAATCTCACCCATATAATGAGATAACTTCCGTGATATTAGACATAGGTAAGTGTTAGGTGTTTCTAACAGCTTGGTGGAGTTTTGCTTAGAATGAGGTCTAGATTTGAATCTTTGATGGTGGTTTGTGTGCTACTAAAATAAGTGCCCACAAATAGGGAGTGTTAATGATGTAGGTCTGAGAAAGGATTTGAAAGAAAACTGGGTAATCAGAGAAGCCATTTATCTTGGTAACCAGGGGGGATTATTAATCCCTGGTTATCATTCCCTAACCAAGCTAGGAATCATTGTGTGCTGAGGTCAGTTCAGAGAAAACGTAGTGTTCATACTTCTTACAGAAGCAAGACATTTTTCTCCTTACTACTGTTAATATAAATGTACTCGGCTAATGCTCAATCTATGTCATAAAAATTCATTTTTTACAAGTAAAACTCCCGTGGTTCTATTCCTTTGAAAGTGTCCTGCTTCTGCTTACATACAGGGTCATTCTGCCCTCTCACCATCTGTGTTTCAACAGGTGTCAGAGTCTTACTTTCTTACAGTTTAAAAATGGGAAACTTGAGACGGTTAATAGTTAAATGATTTTTTTTCCAGGATGTAGGAAGTTACTACGTTAGAGCTCCAGTCTGCAAATGCTCAGCCTGAGGACTAAATTGGGTGGATTTCATGATTTTTAGCAGGGTCACTTAAAGCGTGGTCCCATGGATAGCCTGCATCTGAGCTACTGAAAGTGCTCGCTAAAGGTACATATTCCTGGGCACCATCCTCACAAAACCAGAATCTCTGGAGGTTGCCCCAGGATTCTGAATTTTAACAGGGACCCTCCCCTTCCACCCCCACCTGATAAAGAACTCCTGCTGTAGGTGCTGTGGTCTAAGTTCACTAGCCTCAGAGAGTTAGCATCCACCTAGCACAGATCATAGTGTCTGGACTTACTAGGCACATGATAAACATTTGTTGGCTGAATGACTGTTTGACTACAAGCAGATAATATTATTTAGTATTACTTAACATGAAAAAATAATAATGTCATGATGAAACACAGAGGATCCTTTGTAGTTATCCATGACATCTACAAGTTTGTCACCCTGAGGGATTGGACCCTTGTAGAATGCATTTGTGAGTGTCACGTAAACTAGAATTCAGATCATGAGCAGAGTCCTCTGAGTGGGCAGAGTCACTGACTCAGTCACAGGACTTCTGGTCCCCTCTCAACATCCTGTATGCAGGTGCAACTGTAGGAACTGGCTGAACAATACCTCAAAGAAGCTCGCCTATTAGGAAGAAGTGTGGAACTGAAGTCATTTCAGGAAAGCCAATGATCTGTGGGTTTTTTTCAGCCCAGATAGTATGGACTAGATCAGATTTTTTCAACCTGGACACCATTGGCATTTTGGCATTGGATACATGTTTGTTGTGGGAGCTATCCTGTGCATTACCAGATGTTTGGCAGCATCCTTGGCCTCTACCCACTAAATGATGATTACACCCTCCTACTACCACCAGTTGTGACAACCAAAAATGTCCCCAGATATTGCCAAATGTTCCCTGGGGGTAAGGGTGAGGGTACTATCTTCCCTAGTTGAGAATCACTGGAGTAGATGATCACTTAAAGGGTGGATTTATAAGGTCACTTGGGATGAGAACCCAAATATTAACTCATGTTTCACTCTCTAGCTCAATTTTCAGGAGCTTCTTATTGAGATATGACCTCAGAGGGATGGGCCATAGCTTAGGAAGGAAATCAGGATGGACACTTGTTGGGGAAATAGCAAGGCACTGACTCAAAATGTGGCCCAGAAAGGGGACCCAGTTTTTTCTTCATGAGCTGCACTTCCAGTTTCCCCTAAATCCTTTGGGTGCTGAGCCAGGGCTGGTATGAAAGTGAAAGTCTCTGAGAGTGAGGGGAGGGACTCTCCACAGTACTTCTATCTCAGAGCTGAGGTTTCCTTGCTGGATGGCAGGACTGACCCGAGACCATCACTGTGGGCCTGCCAGCTCTTCATGCAATGATGGCAGAACATGACACAAACCATCTTGCATCTGCTCTATTGATCCTGGGCAGGGGTGGCGAGGGAGCAGGGGTTGGAAGAAAAAGGGAATGCAGAGCAAAGAGTCTTGACTTGAGATGGCGGAGAAGCACACATCTCTTCCTTTGATCCTTTACATCTTCAATTGTAGCCCAGCAATTAGAACAGTGACAGCCTTTCACTGCATTCATGAACTGTTACTCAAATATTTTACTCCTTCTGAATTGTCATCACTGGAGGGCAGGTTCTAGTACACATCGTCCTTTCTTGCATGCTACCGGGGGTCTGGCACACCTAGAGCCTTGCATGCAGGTGGTCCATTGTGGGAAGAGGGCAGTGATCATCCAAGGGGAGCACCCTCTGCTCTGCAGTTTGGGAGCCTTTAGTTTGAAGACTATGGGGTGAATTTTAGGACCACCCATACTGCAAACCCATTTTTTCTCAGTATCCCTAAGACAAAATAGGGGAGAAGTGGGCTTAGTGGGTGTATGATTCCGCCATACATAATGAAAGTGACTGTGGAGGGGCAGCTGTTGTCACCTTTTTTCCCCCCATGAAATTTAATATTGAAAAAAAACCTATTCAGAAACAAAAATTCATTTATTGTAGTCTTCAAGTAATGCCGATAGTGAGGAGTTTTTACCACTTCATATTTTTCCATTTGACACTAACCTAATCTTTATTTGTCCAACGTGGGGTCTAGTTTTGCCTTTTAGAAAATCAGAGTAAGAGGAATGAAAACATTTGCTACTTAAGACTTTCATAACTAGACCAACTTATAAAACCATAAGGCTTTATGCAATGTAGATTATTATTCTTATTAAAAGAAGGAATTTGAGACCAGTCTGGGCAACATAGTGAGACCCGCCCGGTCTCTACAAAACTTTTTTAAAAAAATTACCGGGCATGGTGGCGTGTGCTTATAGTCTCAGCTACTTTGGAGACTGAGGTGGGAGGATCGCTTGAGCCCAGGGGTTTGAGGTTACAGTGAGCTATGACTGTGCTACTGCACTCCAGCTTTCATGGAAGAGTGAGACCCTGTCTCTAAAAAAATAAAAAAAAGAAAGACTAGTTTTAGATAGATAGATTCATAGGTAGATATATAGATACATAGAAATAGAACTGAATGTATAAAGAAATCTTACAAATCTTTAAAAATTATTTTAAAAAACATGAAGAGACATTTTGCAGAACAGAAATAATACTTGGCCAATAAACATATGACAGTATACTTAATCTCAATAATCAGGGAATGCAAATTAAAAGCACAACAACATACTTGTTCTCACCCAGCAAATTGGCCGATATACCAAGTGCTTTCAAGGATGTGGATATGCTCTCTCACGCTGAGGATACAACTGTTTGGGAAGAGCATCCGGCATTGCTTAGTGAAGCTGATGAGGCACGAACCCTGCAAGCAGCTCTTCCAGTCCTGCACCACCCCCAGAGAAGCCCTGTACATGTGAACCAGAATAAATGCACAGAATTTTCATGGCAGTATTGTTTGTAATGACAGGAGACAGGGAACAACCCGAACATCCACCAGTAAAAGAATGGAAAAATAAACTATTGCATCTTTATAAAATGGAATGTTACACAAGAGCAGGGAGTAATTAATTATAGTTACACATTTAAATGAGATTAAACAGGCAAAACTTAATATTAAACAAAAAAAGGAAGTCCCAGAAAAATACAATGATATTCATTTATGTTAAGGTTAAAAACTACATATGTATGCCTATATGGCAAAACTATAAAGAAAAGCAAGGAATTGACTGATACGAAATTCAGGGTTGCTGGTATTTCTGAAGGGGGAAGGAAGGCAAATGCGTTTGGGAAGGTTCAAAGATACTTGACCTTAGTAGTAGGTACATGAGAGTTTATTTTATTACTGTATGTCAAATGAGCAAAGAAACAAACATATAAGTAAGCCCTCAAAAATCTGGAGGGCTATATATATATCACTTGTTAATAATAGTTAACTATGGGTAAAGGATTTATAAGTGAGACATATCCAAACATATATGTATTATTTTCTGAATATCTTCTAGGTTTTCTATAATGAATAAGTATTGACTGTATTATTAAAAATACTCAGAGCTAAGACACATTTCAAAGTGCTGGCCAGGCATGGTGGCCCACGGTTTTACAGAAGGCACACACTCTTTGATGACCCAGCAGGCAGCTCT